TTCCTTCCTCCCTCCCTCCCTCCCTCCCTCCCTCTCCTCCTCCTCCTCCTCATGCTGATACATTGGGGACTGTCACACTCACAATTCCCACACTTTCCCAAAGAGTTTAAAGGCATTTTCAAATCTCTGCTCGATGTTCTTTTGAATTTTGGAATTTTACGTTTCTCCTCTTCTAGGATTACTTGCAATCCAGGGGGTTGACCTGGAAAAACATGCTGAGCGAAAGCCTCCTAGCTCTTCAAAAAGGAACTTTTATTTTACCAGGTAAATCTTGATCCCTTCCAACCACATATTTCTCTGCGACTTTTTTTCTGGATTCTGCTTCTGTTCAGTCCAGGTATTCCGACATTCTCAGGCCCACGAGGACAGATCTGAAGCCCAGCCCGCCACACCAAGATTTGCCACCCACTGAGCAAATCTTCCAAGGAATATTCCCTTCCTAACGCACAACCCCAACTTTCTTTTTCAGATTACCGAATCACGGGACAAACGGTGCTCTGTTACTTTTGCGGCCTCCGCACCTTCCGAGAACTTGCTTATCAGTACAGGCAGAATATTCCTGTCGTGGAATTACCAGGTAGGGAAGAAAATCCAGGCACTTGCAGCGGGATGCAGTCTTTGATGAGTAACTTTCCTAGTTCCCCACTGAGGAAGAACGAACAATCGAAACCTACCAATAGAAGGGAATTGAAACAGGTTTTATGGGGGGTCAGGATAGAGCAGGGTTCCTCAAGCTCAGCACAGCCCACCAAATTTCCCCACCGGCTTTTGATCAATCTCAACGAGGCATCCACGCTGCGTTTCTTTTCTCTTGCAGCGGCTGTCACGTCGCGCCCCGACTGCTACTGGGGACGTAACTGTCGGACTCAGGTGAAAGCACACCACGCCATGTGAGTGACCCTCTTTTCAAGCTCAGGGTTTGCAGAACGGTTGGTAGACGGAGGGGGCGGAAGGGGTGTTTTTCCTCTTCTGGGGCGAATAGAACTCTGTGGCTAATCTGCTTATCAAGCTCCAGGCAATAGGTGGGCATGATCTGAAGCTTCTTTGCCATCAGTCCTGGCTGTTTCATTTGGTAGATTTTAGATATTAAAATCAGTCTGGGTAGCAGTGGTATGCAAAGTATTTTCAGCTGTTCCAGCCTTCGTGGAAATATTCTGAGCTCGAAATGCGTCCAGAATTGAAGAAATGAGTTAAAACGGGCCAAGCGTTTGGGAGTGGAGGGTATTAACCAGGATATCGGGCCGCCCTCCTTTGTTAAAAATCTCTTCCAGGTGACGTTAAAAAAATAGTAACTTCCTGTTCTTTGGTTTTTATTTCAGGAAATTCAATCACATTTGTGAACAAACACGATTCAAAAACTGAAAAGGATTCCCAGGGCATTTTAACTGGTCTCAGTTCTTATAGCCTGCAAGGAGGGATGGGAAAATTAAACCAGAAACGCTGAGTCTACGGTTTTTGCTTTGTTGTTCCCTCCTAATGGGGATCGGCCACTTTTTACATCAGGTACTCTGATGTGAAAGCGTGCCCTTTTTTTTTCCCCTTCCTCCTCCTCCTCCTCCTCC